AGAAGAGCTCAAGGCGCATAGTGGTGAACAAGAGCCTTGGTTCGTTGTCCAGGGCGAAGTGTATGATGGCACTCATTACCTATCTGGTCACCCCGGTGGTGCAGCATCAATCTTTGGTGCCGCTGGTCAAGATGCTACTGAAGAATTTATGGCCATTCGTAAGTCCCCCCTAGTCATATCAAGTCCATTGAAATTTTCATTAACATTTGCCCCAGACAGCGAGAATGCAAAAGCCATGCTGCCCACATATCATATTGGCACCCTCGATGAAGAATCCCGTGCCATTCTCAGTGGTGATGCTACCAAGACGAGCGATGACGCAAACCGCGAAGTGTTCCTCCGGTCCAAGACATGGAGCAAGGCTATTCTTGATAAAAAGACATCTATCTCAACAGATACAAAGATCTTTTCCTTCAAGCTCAACCACGAAGACCAGAAGATTGGCCTCCCCACTGGCCAGCATCTTATGATGCGTCTCCGCGACCCTGCCACCCGTGAAGCCATCATCCGCTCATACACACCATACTCCGACGGCTCAGATTGTGGTCGTCTAGATATTCTTATCAAGATCTACTATGACACTCCCCAGCGCAAGGGTGGTGTCATGACACAAGCACTTGATGCCCTTCCTATTGGTCACTGGGTTGACTTCAAAGGGCCTACGGGCAAATTTGTCTACCACGGCAATGGGCTCTGCACAATCAATGACAGAGAACGTCGTGTTCGCCGTTTCATCATGGTCTGTGGTGGTTCTGGAATTACTCCTATCCGCCAAGTACTCCGCGCCGTCATGCACAATCCTAATGACATGACACCATGTCTGGTCTTCAACGGCAACCGGAGTATTGGCGATATCCTCTGTAAGGAGGAGCTTGACCAACTGGAGGCTGCCAACCCTGCAAGATGCCGAGTCGTCAATGCCCTCTCTAACCCTCCACCCGAATGGAATGGCCTCAATGGTTTTGTGAACCAAGCTCTGGTTCCTGATCAAATGACTCTACCCAAGGCAAGCGGCGAGGGTGACGAGTTGGTGCTTGTTTGTGGGCCTCCACCGATGGTTAAGGCTGTTGAGGCTTCATTTCTGGGCATGGGGTTCAAATCAGATGATTTTGTATTCTTCTAAAGAATCTTTAGGCGATGATCGGATGGCCAAAGTGGATTTCTTACATATGTAACGATGTTTTTATTTTTTACAAGTAGGCGTAAGGAAAATGGCATTAGTTAGGGGATATATTATTTTTGGGTTTCCTTGCCAGCTCTATTACAAAATCAGAGTTAACTAGCGTACTTATGAATAAACAGAAAACTGTACATGCTTCCAAGACTAGCTCTATGCGTCTTTGCAGAAAGGCTATCCTTGAGCAATAACAAACTGGAAAGAGACTCCTGGTCATAAAATCGTGATAGGCTAAATAAAACCGGCGTACTCAAACGAATCGGCGAGGGTTCTATCAATGTCCACCCTCAGAGCTACTTTCAGTACCTCCCTCAGATCCATGTCCAGTTGGGTTTGGATAGTAGTATGCTGCAACGGCGATTGCAACGTAAAGAATAATAAGCAGAAAGCCTTCCAGGTAGTTGCTCTTCTGATCTTGAAGGAATCTACCAACTGTTAGAATGGCGAGGATGAGCATGACGAGGTCGAAAACTGCAAAGTTGAGATCAAGACCCTTGTCGAGGCCCCAGCTGACAACGACGGCAAGAGGAGCGTTAAAGAGAGCAGTTTGTAATGTAGCCCCAAGCACGTGGGACATTGCCAGATTGATTTGGTTATCCCAAGCCTCATCGATGGCAGTCAAGTGCTCCGCCAGCTTCTCAACAAGTGGAACAAGGATAAGACCCATGAATGCGTCACTGACGTCACCCTTTTCGATGACATATTCAATCTGCATGACGAGAATAACCGCCGTCCACGCAACAAGGCCCACGGCAATTATCAAAGCGATAATGCACTCAGTGAGGGTGAGCTTGGCCTTGGCTTGGTCCTTGTGCTTGTCTCGATCATTGTGCTCATCCTGTTCGAACACAGCAGCGTAAATACCATGATGAGTTCGAGCCTGATAAAAGACATATACAAGGTAGGCTATGATGAGAAGAACCGAGATGACGCGCGAGATTTGGAGTGTCCTGTGATCGAGGTTTGCAGCGGTAAGGGACTCGCCATTGCCAACACCGTACTCGAAGACAGTGGGAAGGGCAAGAACAACACCACTATGAATCAGTCAGTTATTGAAAGGAGAGGAAGGATGCAGAGAGCAAACTGACGCAGTTAGAAGTAGTCCGCTTCCGGCTTCGCTGATAGCCTCGTTGAATTCCTGTTCTTCTTTCAACATGCCACCAACGAAAAAGCAAGCACCGAGGCAGAGTAGCATGGTAGCAAGAATTGAACCCATGATGGCAGCCTTGATAACGAAAAACATATCCTTGGAAAGAAGAACCATGAAAAGAATGATTTCGACGATAGAACCAATGCTAGAAATAAACAAATCAGTTATTGTTTCTCGGGTTCACACCCATGAGGAACATACGTGATCTCGAGAAGGACACCCAAGACGTGAGGCAGCTTTCGTGAAAGCTCCTGACCAGCAAATCCGATCAAATTGGCACATGGCACCATGGCGATATAGGCCAGCGCGAAGATAGTGATATGATTATCGGGCATGGCATCTGATACGCGTGAGTCAAGTCTACACAGGAGACGAGATGTTTGTTGGAAATACTTACAGCGAACAGCAATAGCAGCAGGAACGAAAGGCCAGAGAAAGTTGCAAAGCAAACTAGCTCGACTGGTTGATCTGAACGAGATCTTGGAAAAGTGAATAGGATGGAAGCCCTTTCGGCCACTCTCGCCCGCAGGCTTGATGTATCGAGACATCTTGCCGTTGCCGTGATTTCTTTTCTCTCCTCTCTTGTGTTCGCTATATGTATTTGGAACTGGGAGAGTACGGTCGTCAGATGAGACTTGTCGCATGTCGGGAGAGTTGTATGAGCGATGTCGATGGGAGCGCGAAGAGGAGCGATCTCGAGGCATGTTGGCTGCCTTTTGTACTCCGTACCTCAGTTATGTTCAGTACAGTTCAGGTATAGTTTTCCCAAATTACCGAGAGAGAAGGGTCGAGACCAGGGACTAGGACCTGGGGGCTTGTAGGAGGGAGCCAGCTGCCAGACCACCTAGGGTAGACGGATTATATAGGTTGGTAGGTAGGCCGTGTGTTTTTACCTGTCACGATTAGGTAGCAGACAAATAAAAGGGAGGGGGAAGAGGACCAAGCGCGTAACAAAAGAGGGAAGGGATGAATGGGTATAAATGGATGTGTGAGAGACGAGGCAAGCACTGCTGTAACAAGGCACTCGCTCTCAATGCATTGCTAAGTCATCCATAGCACAAGCTCCATGTTTCACACCTCCCGTCTTGGCACACTTGTTCCTCTCGATCCATTCACGGCTCATCTAAATGTCAATGTCCCAGTGAGTACGGAGTACATACATAAAAAAGACCCCTTGACCTCGTGAGCCAATGAGATAGCGCCAGCATGATGAGGACGCGGTCACCCACAATGCTTGTGCCCTGCCAAGTTTCGTCTCTAGCAGGCCAAGCCGGGCCCAACCGTTAATTTTTCGGGGGGGACATTGCTTGGCGGTGCCTTGGATCTCACCCTGTTCCACCTAGCTACCTACGTCACTGACCCTCTAAGGTAGCCGCTGTCCAGACGACATCATTGTATCCGTACCTTACAGAGCACAGCTAAGGTAAGGTAGTCCTCCATTCCTGGTTGCTGGCATTTCTCTTACCATACAAACAAGCCTTATCGCACCCTCACTCGTTCTCCTATCCCCGGCTCTACTCGTCATACCAACAGTACCGCATCAACTCATGAAATTCGGTAGTCCCTGTGGGTACACGCTAGGCAAAGCCACTTCGTTCATTTGACCAATAAGGCTATTTAACTAGCTGTCAGATCCTTATTAATATCCTGACCAATCAGATAGCTTATATAGGGCTAGTGAGTACCCACAGGGACTACCGAATTTCATGAGTTGATGCGGTAGTGTCCTACATAACTAACTAGGTAGTTAGTGCCATTCAAATTATTCTTGTTTTTATCCTTATTTCATATCCTTCACACTTTACCCTTCCGAGGTCTAGACCCAAGCCATCTTACCCCGTACAGGCCACCTTAGCAACACCAAATCACACCCTAGACGCTAGACTTGGAAAAGGCTTGTTCATCAGCCAGACAGGGGCATCTATTCTGTGATCCCTGTGCCGGTTTCCCGTCTACCGACACTCCCATTCCGACACCCAGAAGGAGGCTTCATGTCGAATTTGCAAGCCACTATGTAAATACTCTTTTGCTACAGTAGTTCCTGTGTAATATTCTGATATCACAAATTCCAGAGCTGACGGCATCGCTCTGTTTGTGCAGCTAATCCTGAACAATTCTGGCCGGTTAATGAACACCACCGTATATGAGCCAGCAATGCAGTATAGGAAAGAATCAAAAAGATTCATTGCTTATGATGACAATTGGACTGCTACCAGAGTCAGACGAGGTAAAATCGTGACTGCCCGGGACGTGGCGTCGAGTATTCGACAACATCAGAAAGGGCTTCCCTCGGTACGTCCACGATTAAGTTGAGTTGTAACCATGCTGGCGACCCTGTAAACTGGAGTATGTATTGCTGCAGAGTCGATATTATAGTTTGATGTATTTTGCCATGGAAGAAGGGCACGGTGATTTCAAACATGACGAAAAATTTTTGGGAACCGAAAGCAGAAGTACGCCCTGAAGGATAAAGGGATCCAAAATGGCTTGAAGAGTCGAGAAGAAGACGAAGCTCGAGTGTGGACCGCACATAAGAGAGACTAGAGATCTGAATTCGTTAGGTATATACACTGGGGGGTTGCAAGTAAATCCTTTGCCAAGTCGACTGTAATCGAAGCAGTCAACAAAATGATGGTGATAGCGACACGTAACCTTAGGCTCTCATGTTGTTATTTATTCGTTGGTATCGCTAATGCTGCGTTTCTGGAAGGCTGTCTCTTTGGCCCGGTACGGAACAGGTTCTGCTAGAACGACTGTCTCGGTACCTATGGGAATGTTGGGCTCTGGACCCATCGGCAGTGACTCCATATCAATCTCGACGTTCAACAGAGTCTTGAGAATCACTTGACTGCCAGCTTTGCTCATCACTTCGTTCGCTTGCTTGCACAATTCTGATGCCACACATTCAACACAACCTCGCTCACAGTGACAGTCTTCGACCCGCTTCAACGCATCCCGTAGTAGTTGGTCGACATGGTCAAATGCTTTCGTGCTGATACCTGACCCTCCTGCACCACCTTTGGCATCGTAGAATGTTAACCGTGCTGGTCGCTTCCGCTGTGATTCTTGTTTTGCAAACTCTTTCACTGCCGTCTTGCACTCTGTCCGTACATCGCCAGGCATGCTGATAACGAAGGCTGGCAGTAGACTTATAATGGCATGTTCTGCAGCGTGAATCGCGGCGGCAATGTGAAGACGTCTCTCTTGGAGAATGCTCATCGCCTTCTTAGGCACATCGAGCCACATTCCCTTACTGAAACGTATGACTGGGGGATTGTCCACCTGTACCGCATCCAGCACTCGATTCTTCTTGTCGACCTTGAAGAATCCAAACACGTTTTGTTGGATCTTGATTGTTCCATAGTAAGCATGCGAGCGAGAGTTCGAAATTGTTCTGATGGCTTCTGTCTCCGTGGGATCGATATCAGTATAGTCACGCTGAACAGTTGTCCACTCAACCTTGACCCTTTCCACCCTGGCCATTCCTTTGTCAGGCTGGAAGTCTCGTACAAGGTAGGGATTACCCTGGTGAAGGAAAATGGCTCCATCATAAAGTGTAAAAGTTGCTCTGGAGGCCTCCAGCTCTTCCAGGACAACATTCCGGCCGTTGGTGATATCTATGATAGCAAAGTGGTCATCTTCTGTGTCTCGTATAGCAACATACTTTGCAGGGACAGGGCGAAATCGATCATGGCAATGGTAAAAGCCCATGTCGTCTTTGATTAAGCGTTCGATGCAAATCTTCGGTAGGTCTTTGCCAAAGTATTTTGCATCATCCTTAGGGCGTATCGGCATTTCATATGCCGCGCATTGAATGTGTCCTTCACGCACAAGCATATTCTCCAGATCAACTTGCAACTCGCAATTGGGCTTTGTGAACAGCTCGTCTGGATTCTGCATGTAGTGCTGGTCTGTGGCAAAACCGTCACCAACCAGTATCGAAAGCGAATCCTTGTTGCGACGGCCAGCACGCCCACTTTGCTGTCGCAAGTTGGCAATCGTATAAGGGAATCCCCACGTCATGACACAATCGAGGGAGCCTATGTCAATGCCGAGCTCTAACGCAGTAGTTGCAACAATTCCAAGCAGTTGACCTTGAAACATTTCAGTCTCGATCCGGCGGCGATCCTGTGCTGTATAGCCGCCACGATATCCCATCACCAGATTGGTACATTCTGGCCGTCCCAGGTTCTCGAGCTCCTGCTTGATGGCGCTCACGAGAAGCTCACATTGCGCCCGAACTCTGCAAAATGCTATGATCCTGACACCTCTTAGCATTAGGGCACAAAACAGTCGCGCGCATTCAAACTTGGTGCTACCACGGCCAGAGGCAGGATCGCCAGGGTCTTTATAAGGAGTGTTCCAGCACAAAAACTCCTTCCGTCCTGATGGAGATCCATCGTAATCTATCAGCTGGACGTTTTCTATACCGAATATTGTTTTGAAGTGTTGCTCTGGGTTCGCAACTGTAGCAGAACACGATATAAATTTGACGCGCCGGTTTCCCACGGCGGCACATATTCGCCTCAACCTTCGCATGATGAAGGACATGTGAGAACCCATTTGACCATTGTAATAGTGCAACTCATCCACTGTTAACGATTAATACGCATACAGAAAGGTTCAATCAAAGGAAGCGCTTACCAACGACATGTTTCAAGTTCTTCAGGTAAGATCTCCATCGCTCTTCTTGGGGTAATATGGTAATGTGAAGCATATCTGGATTAGTAAAAATGATTCTTGCTTGCTCTCTAATCTCATTGCGCGCAGTCATTGGAGTGTCCCCATCAAAAGTCTCAACCATAGTCTCTTCAAGACCAGGCATATAACTCATCATCTCTTTCAAACTCCTCTTCTGATCCTGTGCTAAGGCTTTTGTGGGAAAGATGTACATTGCTCTGGAGTTGTAGTCCTCTTCAAGGGCACGAATGACCGGGAGCTGGTAGATCAAACTTTTACCTGAGCTTGTCGATGTTGACACTACAACGTGCTTTCCATCATGGAGACTGTTGAGAGCCTCTGACTGATGTGCATAGAACTGTGTGATTCCATTGGCGTTGTATAGAGCGTTGACCAAACCCTGACTCAAAAGAAAGTTGAGGTCCCCATACACAGCCTCCTGCTTCTCAAATACTCTATGTCCATCAGGGACAATCTGCCCGGTATACCAAGGGCACTCCTTGAGCTCCTGTACGATTTCTGGCACGGTCTTTCGTTCCTTTGGTATGCTTTCTGGTATCGAATCGGCTGCCTTCTCTTGGGCAAACTCTTCTTGGGCAGAAGGGACCGGGATGTATGCTTGGGTTTGTTCTTTGAGAATTTCAAGTGGATCAATTCCATCGTCGGAGCATTTATTGAGGAAGGCATTAATAGCACTGTTGAATCTTTGGTTACGCCTCTCGATCAGACTGGTCATCTGTTTCTGGCTGAAAACAGGCATTCTCAGCTGCTCGTCTCTCAATTTTCGATTCGGCTTCGTTGGTTCGCCAGACTTGCCTGGGACTTGTCTCTTCAGATCGCCATCGATGAATTCGAGAAAAAGGACTTCTCGTCCTACAGGTTCAAGATCTAGATCGTGTTGTTTGTCAAGGCCATCCATGCCTGTGTACCCGCCCACTGAAGGATCATGCGCAGGAGCCTGAGACCTGAATGATTTGCCAGTTCGGAAGACTTCGTCCCTTTCAGTGCCTTTGACATCAAGCTGCAGCATGTTCTCGTCGACATATGCAAAGAAAAGACCCTCAGGACGAATCGCTACCATGGAAGCAATCTCATCGACCAATAGTTCCCGCTTGATATGGGCTTCAACGGCAGATTTTATTGTGTCAAATGTCGTGGCGAGATGTTTTCGTGTGGTGCAAAAGGTGTAGACAAGATTGAGAGCTCGATGCGTTCGTTCAACCTTCTTAAACTCTTCTGGCCATTCCGCAGCACAGGGTACGATTACACTGCTGGCTTCCTTGTGAAGGGTCGGCCGTGCTTTTCCCCCCCTTCCTCCTCGTTTAGATTTGGAGCTGCTCGGCTGACTTGAAGTCGGACTCTTGGCTGTTGAGTCCTCGTCGCCATCACGCTTGCGTTTTGCTCCGGGCAGTGAATATTCTGTGATAGGACCAGTTTGGCCTGATGTTTTCTTGTGTTCTGTCATGTCATCACTGGGAACTGAAGGAATGTGCAAAGCTCGGCTGGACTCATAAAGTGAAAGCCGTTTCAATCGTGAAAGTGGCGACGTCATGCATGGTCCGAGTCGCGAAATTGATGCCAAATCACGTGCATTGATTATCATATCACCAACTAGGTACCAAGTATGATGAGAAAGACAAAGCTTAGCAGGAATGTAGATGTTATTGTATCAATCGAAGCATGTTTATTTGTGCGAATATGACTGCATGGCCAGCACACGGCTGTGACTCCATCTCCATCTACCTTGTCCAGTGTCCAGGACTTATAATAATGGCTTCCCAATGCCATTGTTAAGATACAACAATGCTCCCCAGACGATAGCTATTTATACACAATTCTATCCATGGTTCTGTGTAAGAGCCAGAAAGCGACTAGGCTCTCACGGTGCATTGTATCAACATGTGTGCTCCAAGCTGGGCACGACTTTGTATCCTTCTAGTTGTCTGCCCTGCTTGCCATTTGCATAGACGGCAACTGGCTAGACTGGCTACCCTCATGTATCAATGTAAATCCCCGTTTGCGATTCTATCAGGGCTTGAGGCAGGCATCAACTCTTTATGGGGGTCTAACAGCTTTGCAAGAGCTTTCCAAACAGTGACTAACTGTTCTGGAGTTCTTTTTGGATGGTTCCAATCTCATTCATGAAAAGCTTTGCGTTGGCAGCTGACATCTACATGACATTTGTCAGTTCCAAATAGTGTATAGGAAATCCAAGGCATTGCGACTTACTCTCATTGTGATGCTCACGGGTTTGGACTGTTCACCCTCGAAGGCAGTGAAGAGGATGCCAACAGACTTCAATGAAGCCTTTTCTTGGAATTTCATGGCGGCGACAAGCGCTGTGTTCAGAATGACTCGATGTGTTTGATCTTGACGCATGATGAGACGGGCAACCTTGTGGCCTTGGGATTCTCCTGCGGCCTCCTCATCCATTTCTAAGGCGGAAGCATCAAATGATCCAGGGATAACAGCGCCGTTTTCGTCATACTCGACACAGGCCTGAGGCACATTAATTTTAAGCATGCCCGCACCTCGTTCTTTCCAGCCGGCCTCTTTGTCGTGGTAAAACATTTTGGCTCTCACAGAGACAACCGTTGCCTCGCCGGCTTCGCCATCGTTGACTTCGACTGGTAACTGTTAGTGCTAAACTGACAAAGTGATAGATAGGAAACTCGCTTTTCTGCAACTTAAGCTTCTTTTTCTCATCGGATTCCTTCTCTGGCGAAACAGCACGTTCGGCTTCAGGAGGTTGCTCACTCTCCTCTCTTTCTTCGTCCTCTTCGTCGCCCTCCTCGGATTCACTATCCGGGGCACCAAATGGCTTCGCAGGTTTCTCGCTCTTGAGGGGCTCCGCAATAGGCGCAGCGAAGCTCGAGAGGGGTTTGGCACCCCCTAGAGCAGATCCAAAAGTGCTTCCCCCAAAGGAACTTCCGTTGCTTCCAGTTGATAATCCTGCAAAAGGCGACGCTCCTCCTGAGCTTCCAAAGGTCAGCTTAGGCGGCGCAGCAGGTTGTACTGTTGTAGAGGAGGGCGGAGAAGCAAATGAGCTAAGCGAGGGCTTGCCAGCAGCAAGTGACCCGAACGCACTTCCACTCTGAGAGGCACCAAGAGAAGCAAAGGGCGATGTCCCGGACGACAGCTTGCCAAAACCAGACGCTGCGAAAGCAGTGGCAGATGTTTGCCCTTGGGAATTTTTTGTCGGTGATTTGCCGGCTTCGGTGTCTTTGGTCGCCTCGCTGGAAGCAATCGTTGATGGCTACAAAGAAAAAATTAGTCCAACCCCTACACGTGGCAAATAAAACTGCGGTTAGCATACCAAATCTGTATCTTCGTCGCGATGTCGCTTCTTCTCGGGCTCGGTTCGTAGAGTTCTATCCTTGGCCGAGTCCGATGATGCTACACTGTTCGCATCGTTTTCCTCGGCATCTTTGCTTCCCTCTAGTTGGTCGTGCGCGCGCTTCTTCTTAGGAGAGGTGACTTGCTCCTTCAAGTCATTATCGGGCGCATCCGATGTGTTGGCAGCATCTTCTGGACCAGACGTTGGGGGATCAGAGATGGATGATTGCTTTAGTTCACGACGAGTAGCGCGGGTCTCTGCGTCTTCCTTGGTCTCGACGTTGAGAGGTTCGTTCTTGGGACTGGCATCGGGAGCGTCGTCGGCCATGGCGTTCAAAGGCTTGGTGTGATGACGGCAGATTAACGACGATCAACGACAAGAGGATAGGGTTTGATAAGGGGAAGACGTTGAACTTTTGACGCAGAGTTTATAGCTGAGAATATAGAGAAAGACATGTAAGGTCGGAGAATCACGAGTGATGTATGAGCAGAAATATGCGCTGGACTTGGAATCAGGCTGGGCGAAGGTTGTCTGAGTTGGGTCACTCTTGGATGTTGGAATCGAAGCTTGAGTTGAGCGCTGCGTGGAGCCAATCAAATACATGCAGAGTCGCCAACGTCAAAATAACCAAAGCTAACCTAGACACCTAAGCCTACTGTAGCTAAGGTATTCACCGCCCGCCTGACGCCAATATCCACGCCAGCAGGAGGGGTAGTAATGGAGGGTCGAGATTGGACGTCATTTTTACGATTAAACAAAGACAAAATGATCACAGACAGTTCAGTTGGTGAAAATGTGAAACGCCCTGAATACTGTATGTCAGTTGGTTTTGTACTATAACTTGATCCTTAACTATGACTTTCTTCCACTCCAAACAAAAACATTGCCTACCTTGCCTTGCTGACCGATCTTTAATGGACCAAAGCCCGCCAGTTCATATCTAATGTACAGACCTGCTCCGGGAGCAGGGATTGTAGCCTTGCTCTGGGTTCAATTGTCACACGACAAACAAGTTCATGAACCATTAATAGTATGATTCATGAAAGCGTGGCCATCTCATACTATCGGCCTTACATATGCCCAGAGATCTCTGCATCTAGGATAGGATGGGGATAAGATAGGACCCAATGGCTCGGTACCGTATCTCCACGTTAATCGCGCCAGGATCTGTTCCGTTTTGGGAAAACAAACAAACGGTCATATTCGACAAAGCATAGCATGATAAAAGCGATACGCGTTTGCAAAGAACAGTTCAAGTATCATAGGAATCAGTCCATGACACTACTCCATCACCGAAACACTCAATAGCCTAGTTCTGGTCAGGTCTCGTTTCGTTTCAAGTAAGAATACATCAGTCTAAATCAATCTTTTATAACCACTCGATCTGTTCAAATCGCAGTAGCCGAACACCAAGTCGCGTTTCCTCGTAAGGAGCCCAGGCTTAGCTGATAAAGCACAGACAGCCAAGACCGAGGTAGAAGACCAGTAGAGGGTACACTGCAATGGCTACTCGGTTCTTGACAACTCCGCTGCCACCTAAAATGCTGACGCCAGCAGCCAGAGACCAGCTGATGAGGACGATATAGATGGGGATGCGAGCGATCCAGTGAAGACCCAGGGCAGACATCATAGCAGCAAGGACCAGGGGGAAAAGCGTATATCCGATGATGCAGACGCTCTGAGCGAAGGAGCTTTGAGCAAGTTAGCGAATGTCACATGGGCAAACCAGAATAGCGAAACATACATGTTACCACCCAACAGTTTGATCTGTAGCGTCACGACAGCCTCGCCAAGCCAAATCATGGCAAAGACACCACTGAATACGGCATCACGCTGTTCAGATCGAGCGGTGATGCTCAGGAGAACACTTAGAAGAAGGCAGAAGATCAGAGGGCCCCAGAGATCCCAGTCGCGAAGACCAGGAGTCATGTTGCTCTGGAGCAGAGCCTCAGCATCAACCATACGGCTAGCCAGTCCAGTAAGTTCTTCCCTTGTCCCTGAAAGACCAGCGCCGCGGATGCTGGAGTAAGCGCCGCGCAGACCTCCCTCGTTATCAAACATAGTGCCGCCCAGGAGATAGCGAGGGTAGAGCACTTCTCTGAGCTTTGCCCAGACAGCGAGCAGGTCGCGGCGCAGTGTATCCCATACAGACTCGTCAATTGTGTTTTGAGGAGCTCTTCGGTCTTCTCCGGGGATCCGCGAGGTGAGATAACCTTCGTTCAACGGTCGCGATGATGAGCCGGAGCCAATGTTGCCTGTTAAGGGCTGACGGGTGTTGTTGGTCGCAAGAGGGTCGTCGAAGTCGTTGAGATCGGCTGGATCTAGGTCAGTTTCCACGGAGTATGAAATAGAACTTTGCATGTTCTGGCAAAAAGAAGGGCCTAGTGTGCGATCTCTTACCATCATCAGGGTCGATCAGGTCGTCCTCATCCTCCAAAGGTGGATTGGCATAGTGCCCTCGAGTGCTGGAAGCCGACATGATATGTAAAGCTCGCTTCGCTCGATTTGAACAATCAGCTATGGAATCGGTATCGTGGCTATCTTTCCGGCGTCACAGAGAAATTGTGGTTTCAAAAATGTGAAAGCTGGTGAATATGAAGCTGACGTACGTATCTCTAGGTAGGTAATAACGGCGAAACTTCCACGGTCGCCTCTCTGGAAACGACCCCCTTGATGAAAGGTGGCCCAAGCTTCCCTTTCACTGCAGCCAATCACAGCACTGTACAGCTCAGGTACGGGCAGGGGGGGCTTCGAGGGCGAAGCCATTTCAATTGGATCCCTTGAATTACAGTTAATGCTGATTCAAACACGCAATCCTTCATCGAGGCGCGAAAAAAATTATATCAAAATATATTAACCACCTTCCAGGTTTTTTCCTAATTCATATTGTCCGGCTGACAATTCCAGCTACTCTATCTCATTATCCTCACTACAACATCAGTGCGACTCAGAGCTTCATCGCCTACATCCACTGAGCTCTTTGAGTTACAGACAAAGCCAAGGCCCATTGACAAACACACTATTCAGCCCTTACCCTCTCATTTCACTTGTTCAATATTTCATAGAGTACTTTTCAATAGGGACTGCCTCGAACGGCACTTATCAATGCCATTCGCTTGGAGGACTATGGGGATGATCCTCGGCTGACCTGGTGGGAACTTGAGGGTTTCCAGGCCAATGCTGCCCGTCGCTCAACTGGCTTGGATGTTGGTTCACTGAAGAAGCCGTCATGTTGGAAGGGTCTTGATGGTGTTGACGGCTGTTCTGGGCAAACGCCTCTTGGTTGCGCTGATGAGCTGATGGTTGTGAATACCATGGATTACCCTGGCCATTGGCCGCATGGTTCTGATATACAAGATCAGTCGCACTGTAGTCTACTGTTCCCGCCATTGAAAACTCAGTTGACACCGAGTCCTGCTGATGGAACGATGGCTGCTGTCGTTGGGCCTCTTGTGCCCATCGCTGAGCAGCCTGGTTGTAAGGCCCTTCGTATGGGACGTCTTCCGCTTCAGGGTCCCATATGGGAAGACCGTCGGGAGGTTGAGCCTCTCCTGACGGTTGGCCGTGGCCATAAGATGCTATGTTTCCGTTGATACCCACAAGGGCCCAAGCAAATACAGCAACATCCCTAATGGATTGCATGAGCTGATCCATAGGGGGACCACCAGCAGCTTGAATACCGCTTCGCAGTGGCATATGGTGCGGGGCATATGGAGCTTCAAAACTGTGAACAGCATCGTGAGGATACCGGGGATACACAGGTTGTTGCGCCCAAGGAGCAGCGAAAACACCGTGTTCGAAGGTCGAAGGAATTTGGGGAGGCTCAACACTGGGAATCTGGGGTCTTGCTCGGCGGAGGATGACGACCAGACCGTCAGAGGTACATGAGACGACCGCTTCCAACTCGATAGAAGGTGCCAAGTGTCGAATTGGACGGTTGCGGGATCTGCGTGCCTGGGACACGTTGTCCTCAGGAGGTGGCGGCGACTGCGGTGTGAGAGGAGTCTGGTAACGAGTTGCCCGTGAGCTAGAGCCCAGAGCATTGGAGCTCGTAGTACGGGATTCACCTGATGTGTCGTTGGAAGTGACGCCATCCTGCATGTCCACATCAGGCTCTACCTTGATGGAAGGGCCTGCCGAACCCCGGTTGGAGTTGGAGTTCGAATCGAGATCCATGGCACCATCCAACTTAACACCGCCTCCTTCAGAATCGCTGGAGCGGCGGCTCTCGGCACGTCGTTGCTGATTCGGAGCCATCAAGCCGCTTCCAGATCCATTCTGGTCTGGGTACGGACTGTTGGTGGTGGCGTTTCTAAAGGAACGGGGCCCCTCGCTCTCATTTCGTCCACCAACGCCATCAATTATCGACTCCTCGTCAACATTGCTATCTTCTCCATCGAAGTCTTCGGGCCGTCGTGGATCGCGAGACCAGAATCGCAAGTAAGCAATCGAATCGTTGGCTTTCGCACTCTCAATGCACTTGAGTGCATCATCCAAGCAGGTCTCTCGAATGCATTCGTAGAAGCTTTTATGCTGAACTTGATCAGCAGGAACGCCGAGGATGGAGGCGACAGCATCAGTTGCAAACATAATAGTCAATGTTCTAGTAAAACGATTAAGGATAAGAGCAGCTCGGGGTTCACGCTCTACAGGTGGCAACCTGAACTTGGGGGACAGGTGTTGCAACATGTGATATCGTGGGTCTCGAGGAGAGCGTGAGAAGAGACGCCGGACTTGTGGTGCATCCAGAGCACGTCCTGAATTATGTTAATATATGTAAATTGATATATCAAGAGGGCGAGGTAACTGTGGTGAACATACTCTCACTCTTAGCATCACGCCTGTAGATACTTATACAAGCAAAAAGAATATCGTGGACGATCGAGAAGCAGCATTCACTGCTTACCCAAAGACCATCACGAGAGCGAAGACGTGCATAGTGCAAAACGGCAGCCTTGTCCAGCAAGACGCCACGACTATGGACGGATCGCGCATACGGGATTTCATCCGGATGAAAGAACTCAAAAGCAGACTTATTGATGACGTCCTGTGGAGAGTATCCAAGGATGTCAAAGATGGAATCAGACGCGTAAAGGATATTAGCGTCGGGGTGTAAATCTGGGTGAGAACGGGTCAGTGAAGGTCTGGGAGAGAAGACGCAGGGACAGACATAACTCACTATGTATAGTCAAAAAAGTATGCTCCATGAAGATGAGGGTGCAAGAGCAGCGAGCTCCGCAAAGAATTGGCTGATAGTAGAGTTCTAATTGAAAGCGAGAGATAGCAGTATGCAGGCAGGGCGTGTCCAGTGAATGTTGGCTAATACCAATCAATGGTAACTGGAGGGGCGAGAATTGGATGATTGTTCGAGATCAGAATTTAAATGAGTGCACGAAGGGACTCGACAGCGTATAAATCAGGGTTGAAGAACAGAAGAAGTGATGTAAGTGGGTTGAAGGTCTCCTACCATCGATAAATCTAACTCGCTAACTTGAGATAGTGCCTTTTGGCGTCAACTGCCAGAGTGGATCTAGTCGATACTGTCTAGTAGGTGTGAGACTTTGCGATCTAGAGGCGGGTATTGGAAGATATCTTGGATGGCAGGGCACGGACGTGGTTATCAAGTCCGAGGCCCTAATGATATGGGGTTTAGGGACTAGAATAAAAGTACAATGTTTGGGAGCTGTTCAAGATGAGGCAATTGTTGATCTGGTGATACAGATCACGAATCTCTTAAGGGAGGAACTGAGATTGACGATGATGGACAAGATCGGAGAGTACTTTGGTCAAGTAGGTAAGTAGTAAAGAGATGCTCGGGTACTGAAATACCTGGCAGTTGTAGAATTCTCTCTATGGTGCCTAAGAGCACGGAGGAGAATGAAGAATGAGAATAAATTGAGTTGATGGGACTGAGATAGACAAGGGCGGGCAGCACAGAGATATATATATAAAGACCAAGAGATGGCTGTCAACTGCGAACCAGGGTTGTGCACGAATCCAGTCTAGGACATGGCCCCGGAGCAATGCGCATCCGGGAATGGGGAACTCAACAGCGTTGTCTGTATCTGTATGTGAGCTCGACAAAAACAGGGAGTGAAGAGTGAAAAATGAAAAATGAAAAATGAGATTATCCTCTGGGCTTAACCGGGGGGCTTGAAAGAGTTCAAGGTTGGTTGGCTGGTTTGCGATGGATGTTTGCCTGTTTAATAAGAAGAGGCTGTCCACTCTCGACGTCACAGCTGAGAGGTTTGTTAGTTTAGTGCTCGACTATTCTTTGGGTCGAGTCCTGATCTTTTGACTTGATTTTGAACTGCTCCTGAAGTCCCTGGATCGCAAATGATATCGTCAACGATATACTCGAGAGACAATGTTGTTGTCGAAAAAGGATCGTCATCCTCAAGTACCTCGTCACGGAGGCTTATGCACCCGAGACAAGGTTGTTTGCAAGGTATATTCCAACCCCATCACACAAAAGCTCAAGGCTAGGAGGGACACGAAATGCCACGTGCAGCGATGGTGAAGAAACCCCGAAGTTCGTCGGATGCACCGTTGACGGGCGGCGGGTTTAGTTACCGTTTGTATCTAGGTTAGTGGTACAGTACCGTCCTGTACCTCGACTACCTTACCTAGGTAGGGAGACTCGACTCGAAATGAGGCTGCAGTACCGGAGGGTGGCCACGATGTGTTACTGGGTTACGTATGTTCTCTAGTCTTGGTATTGGGGGAAAAAAGCAAAGGAGCTCAACGCCATCCTTGACACTCAATGGCCGAGTTTGGAGAATAGAGACAACAAAAGTCTCTCTCTGTCTCTCTCTCTGCTGCATGTTTGTCCGGTTGGGGAAATCAATGAATGGAGAAAACAACTGGGACAACTAACCAAGCCACCGACCCTTGAAAAGCTGAAAGGAAATGGCTTGCAGTCCTCATTGTTCTCATGACTCGAACCGGGCAAACTTTTTTATAGCTTTGTCTTCTCTCCGTACATGTTCTCTCTTTACATTAGTGCTGTGGCTTTTCTTCTTTGATGGCGGGGAAGGGAATTACTAGGGGGTGAGGAATGACGTTGAACAGAATGACGAGTAAGAATAACGACCATCTACAGAAGAGGAATGGTTGTTAATCGCTGAAAGACAGGGACCACAATTAATCGCCGCTCCGATGTAGAAACAACAGAGCTTAAACAGGGATCGAGCTTTTTGTACTATCAATCGAGAAATTGGCTTTGTTTTCTCGGATACTTTCCTCAATTATCACTCAGGGATACATCAGCTACTGCATAACATAGAATTCAGTGTTTCAAGATGAGGATTAACTTCTACAGATGATACGGCACTATGGTACCCGAACCAGCATATACCTCTTGTGACACAATTCTTTGTTGCCTCATCTATAACAGGTAATCCACAGCATAGAACAAGAGACGCCCTGTCTCTTCCTATCTCTCCATGAATACTAATCGTCACACGTTTGCATGACCAGATCCTTCGTTTTTGTCTGTTGTGCCACATTGTGCCATGCCCTCATCCGTCTCAACATGCCGTGTCCCTCGAAACTCCACGCAACAGCGTTATCACTAAGGAGGGAGCAGCCGTTGTTGCTTTTGTGGCCACCTCGATAATGCTCTGCCCCTAAGCAGGTATCTTTGAGGGCGTGTCCACCGAAAGACCCTTGCTCTGACGGAGTGTAACTCAGACCCGGTCTTGGTCCTACTGTAGTCTAGGGGCCGAAGCCCATTCTTCAGGCGCGGGATCTGGACGTCGTCGGTTGACGGCGCCTTTCCCGTCGCACAACCCTTTGGATAACAGACAACGGGTGGCTAGGCCATTTCGCCCTTGCTCAAGCCACAAGAGACCAGTGAACTGATGACTTCGATCCCGGCCCAGCCAATCTCTCGATGGAGTACCCGTCTGATACTACAAGACGGTGGACGGCCCTTGTGTCCCTTACTAGAAGCTAGACGAAATTTATCGGGAAGTCCTTGCGAGGACCCTTGAGCACCCCAACTTAGCACGTCAACGCCCGTGCTACCATGGTGGGTGGGTGGCTTGGTGTGCTCAGTTGTAAGTCCCTGACATTGATGATCGACAACTAACTCGCTAGGACCTCGATAGTGAGGCTAGCGTGCGGAGGCTTGATTGGCTGATAGGTAGCCATCGAGTCTTTGTGCATCAAATGTTAGTTACTCTGGTCCTTAAAATGTAGCCCGTAGTCACGAGAGTGCAGGCTGAAAGTGTATTTGCTGGGATGGCTCTACATAGCAAGCCGAAATAGATATGGAGACTGACAGACATCATGAGCGTCATGGACAGGTGAAAGTCTTCAGATGAAGCGTACAGCTTCTAGATTTACTCATGGTCATGGGATCATGCATCAATGCTACACACAGGATTGCGAGACGGATACGAGGCAGAGACACGACGATGCGGGTGTAATGAGTGACTGTGCGTCAGAATGACAGTGAGTTCCCCCAAAATACCACGTTTGGGTCGGATACGATGAGATCAGGCACTCGGTTGTACGAGGTGGTGATGAGGCAGGTGAGATTCTGTATGGACATCTCACAACTCCGTCATTTCGAGGTATATGGGTAATAAGATGTCCCAGCTCACGACATTCGTTTCTGTGGTGCATACCAAAACTCATACGAGGCACCAAGAGGGTAGACTCTACTTTTGCCTCGATATGCAAAGCCACAAGCTCTTAAACATAGACGCTAGCATTCCAAGGGTAACAATTGCGCAACTGACTTTGAGAATGATTCTGCGGTGCTGCAGGTTCTGCAATGGAGACTGGATCCAAGACGCGAACGACATGGAACAAGAGCATTTATTTGGTGATAGGTATGCAGTGCAAGAAGAGGATTTAAAAGAGCACAGTATTCTGCAGCCAGGAGGAAATGCTCCATGGCCATCACGATCCATCATCTCTTGACATTAACAATGAGAACTAACCTAAACCCAAAGCAAGCAGGTAGCCGTTGAGACGTTCGTTAGGTACCCGCCATTGGTCTGGGCATCTTAGTCTGATATTTGACCCCTCGACCTTAGTAGATATTTGTACAGAATCAAATTTCAGCCTGTCGGATGGTAGAATATCTAAGGTAAGTTAGGTACTTCACCTTATCTTAGGTACTAATCTAACTGCTTGTTGAGACTTTGTGAAGTAAGTAAGGTACCTGTGGATGAGAAGGAGCCTCAGGTGGGAAGAAGAATCGATTACTTCGCCAATGAAAGCTCCCGCTCGCTGATTCAACCAATCAAAGCCTGCACTTGCTTAGCTCTCAGATCCACTCTTCCTACTAAGTTAGTTACCTTTAGTCGTCGCTCTTTCTTTCGACAACACAACATGAAACTAACGTAGCATCATTCAACTCGACGCGCATCGCGTTAATGATTATTTTTCTTGATCCTGTATTTTTGACGTGAACGACAAAGCAAGATAAATGCCGGCTTTTTAACTATATTATTAATTCTGATATTCGCGAATCAGACCCCAGAATCAGACCCCAAAGATTTTGTTTGACAACGGCGTTTACTTAGTTGCCAGCCTCTCAACCTCATATCTCAGTCAAAAAGCCTTCAAGGAGACAACATCAGGCAAGCAAGCGGGTTTTGTCTGCACGCCCGAAAGGGGAAAACACCCTCTCGTCATCTCGCAGCGATTCTCATACCACCCTGTGTGTGTACAACATTGCGAGGCTGTATCTAAGATTTGTTGCCAGAACATAATCTTCAACGGTCACTGTTGACTAGCCAGCCAGTATGGCTATCGCCGATGATAATGCGTTTGAGCTACCCAAGCTTCGCTCCTCGTTCTCGCTAGAAGTAATCATCAGCAAGCCCCATGGAGTCTTTGAAACTAACAAATACAATAGAACGATACAGAGTTCCTCGAGAATGACAACGTTGCTGG